CACGCTGTTGGAAGAGGGGAGGCAAGGGGTACTTTGATTGACAGATAGTGTCGTAAGAATATTTTTTTTATTAACTGAAGATATTTGTTTTAGCTCATAAAATTCATACAAATTACTCGCGGAATATAATTTACATTGCTGAATTTTACAATTTGGGATCATTTTGAATATAAACATCATATATTTTGCATTAGACATACAAATTTTAGATAAAATGTTTAATCTGAGTAAATATGTTATCTTTTGTGAAAATATATGACATTTATATTCAAAATATTCCTGGTCTTACAAGGAATCCAGCAATGTCAATTATATTATCCTAACTTAGTTTGAGGTATTATTTATTACTATACCTGGTTTTCCCCAAAATTTCTCAGAGGGAAGAGCCAGCAGTGTAGTGTAAGAAGAGAGGAGGAGTCGTGTCCATTATTTGAATGGACATTAACTACGACTGTATTTTCTATTTTCTTAAGTATTAATTGTGTGCATGTACCATCATAAAATTAAGATGTTATTTACTAGAACATAGGTATTGTGTTGGAAAAGTGGAGTTTGGGGTCAGCTGGTCTCTATTTCATTTAATCCCATATGTTATGTTATTCACTTTTGATGTTGCTTTCACTTTCCGCTGTACTCTGTGGGTTACATTAACCGCAGAAGTGAGGGTTGACTGTATTGTTTCTCATTTTTATCTTTTTTCATTTTGTATTTCTTTATGGTTCTTTTATTATTATTGGATTACTGCATTTTTACACCCCCCATTCCTACCCCTAATCTATTATCATATTTGAATAAGATCAATTATAAGATTATATTCTTCTATTACATTATTGGCGAAATGTATAATAACGAGGATAACGTATCCAAAATTTTATCTATTTTCTTCCATTAGTCTAACGCCATTATCGCTCACCTCACCGCGGTCTCCTTCATAAATCATCACGCGCATGCATTCTTCAGTAACCGCCACGCGGTCAATCAAAAGCGTTTTTTGGGGGGGGCAACCAATTAAATGATTTATGGTTTAATTCAGAGTATTTTTGGCCCAATCAAATTCGATTTTTATTTTGTCTCTAATTCCAAATCCAAATTCCTTTCCGACCATGTAAGCGATGGGTGTCACTAATTATATGGAGCTGATTATGAGTTTTGGGAAACCAAGAAACTATAGCATTTTTCGATCTCATGGTGTTCTCCGACCAGTAAAGTGTCTTTAGTGCAATAATGAATGTAAATATCACGACCAACATATGTGGCATTACGTAACAGGTCTTTATTCCAAAGACAAAGAAGAGACGGCCAATAAGGTAAGAAATAAGTGATGCCATCATATGGTGAGAGTCGGTTTTGTTTGGTTTATGTTTTTCTAGTGTTTTTGTATTTGCTTAGCCATTATTTTTTTCGAAAGCCCCCAAAAAAAAAATCGGCCAATTTCTGACGGAAATGAAGGTCATAATCGGTCTAAAACAACACACATCAGAAAAGCCTTTTCTAAAAACCAGTATAAATATATTTTTAACTTTCTAACAGTTGGGTGCACTTATGCAAATTTACCTAATTATTATTATTACATTTTTGCCCCCAGGCCCTGATGTGGGTCAGTGACCTGTGCCCAGGTGGGCTAATCCCATAAAAAATATACTATATATATATTTTCTTATTATCAGTTTTTCATCCTGTTTTACCTGGCAATTTCTTTATCCTTCATACCTTATCCACTACAGGTGATATATGATGGTAGATAGAAAAAAAACTAGCAGCTAAAATGGAGGATTTTGTAGTCGCTCTCCCGTCTCACCAGTAAGTTCGACCACTGGTAGGTTAGGTTATTCTAGGTTAGGTTAGGTTACCCTAACTTGAACTTTTTAATAAACTCTTTGCCATAACTATGAGAGTCCACAGAAAACAATGAACTTTCAGCATTTTTAAATTCGTTTTCTACGTGAAAATAAATTAGCGGCTGTGAAGTCAGAATAATTACCAAGCTAATAACTAAAAATTCTTATAACTATAGTAAAAAGTTGTTGCCTTAAAATACTTACCGTAGTACAATATAATGATAAAACATCTGAGGAAAAAATTTACAAAATCAAACAACAACTGGTAATAGAGCTGTTCGAATTACCAAACTATTAGTGAACATTATACCTGAATTAACAAGAAGGCAGTGGGAATTTTCCAGACACAACCTCTACTTCCACTATTTGTCCAGCATTCATTCTTTAAGTTTATATGCATAAATATACAGTAGTCGTGCAATCCCATGTTTGCTATTCTCACATTTCACAATTACCAAGCTAACCAAACCTAACCAAAAAAACTTAAGTTAGGTAAATTTGCAGTTTCAGACCCAACTACTGTTTGACCATAAATTTTGTTTTCCTCGGTATTTGGTCTGATTCAGATTAACATGACTCATTTCCGTCCGCAAATGAGTGGTTACCGGTTATAACACTCCCACCTCCCATGAAATTGCTCTAACTGTTGGGGACAAACTGCACAAAGTTTGTATGTAATACTTTAGAAGTGTGCAGATTAATGAGCAACATTAAGAAATGTGAACTTATAGTATCACGGTCTTTATTTCCATATAAAAATGGGTATCTCAATTTTTTACACAATTCTAAGACATTTTTTTCTCTCTGATATTTCCATCGAAATTAAGGATAACCAGATATTAATTTTTCAAGATTATGACTTTCGCTCAGTCACAAGTGTAGCCATGATTTGTTTAGGTATTATTGCATTTACACACAGTTCATTCCTACCACTAATCTATTATCATATTCAATAAGACGTCTAATTATAAGATAATTTTCATTTATTACATTACGGCCAGAAACGTATAATAATGGAGATAGCTTTTCCAAATAAATTTCTATTTTCTTCCATTATTTCCTGCCATTATCGCCTCTCACCTATCACTGCGTGTCTTCGCTCCCCTTTATAAATCATGACGCCATGCGCCTGAAAATGGCAATGAAAATCAACACCAGCAAGTGCAGTGTACTTAATATTGGAAGAACAAATACTGTCAATGTATACAGCCTTAACAACATCAACCTGGAGAAGTCGACTTGTGAAAGAACGGGGTGCTTTGTAAGCCGGACCCACGGCCCAGAAAAAGGCGTTATTGTTCAAATAAGGCAAACAGAGTGGGTTTTATATCTAGAAGTGTAAGTAATAAGAGTGCAGAGGTCTTATTGCAACTACATCTTACGCTAGTCAGTCGCACCTCGACGGTTCAGTTCTGGTGCCCTTATTAGAATGGATATCAATTCACTAGAGTCGGTGCAGCGAAGAATGACGAAAATGATTCGGGACCTAGAAACCTTCCATATCAGGATAGGTTAAAAGAAACTAAACTTACATTCCCTAGAAAGACGAAGAGTGCAGGGAGATATGATAGAAGTATTCAAGTGGGTGAAAGGAATCAATAAAGGTGATATAGATAAAGTTCTTATAATTTTAGCAGGATAGGACTGAACAACTGATTTGTTGGATAAGTTTAGGTTTAGAGGAGATAGAAAGGAACTGGTTTACAAATAGGGTGGTGACGAGTGGAACAAGCTTAGCAACTTTGTAGTGAGTGCAGGAATGCTGGAAAGTTTCAAAAGGAGGCTGGATATATTCATGGATGATAGAGAGTGGTAGTAACTCGACAGGAGCTGCCATGCACAGGCCAACCGCCTATTGCAGACACCTTATTTTCTTTAGCTCGTACACGCCATGCGCGCCAATCAAAAGCATTTTGCCAATTCAGAATATATTTGGCCCAATCAAAATCGAGTTTTATTTTGGGTCTCATATTTGAAATTCAAGTTCAGTTCACCATGGAAGTCTGCGATGGATGTCGCTAAAGTATATGGATCTGATTACAGTTTTTGGAAAAAAAAACGTAGAAATTATAGCATTTTTCAATCGCATGGTGTTCTTCCAACCTCAGTAAAGTGTACTAAGAGCAAGACGGAATGTAAATATCGTATAGACCAACATATGTGGCAGTAAGAATCCCAGATTGCAAAGACGAACAAGAACCAGGCCAATAAGGTAAGAAATAGGTAATTCCATCATATGGTGAGAGTCAGTTGTTAGGTTAGGTTAGTTTTGGTTTTCAGTGTTTTTGTGTATTTTAGTCGCAGCCACTTTTTTTTCGAAAACGTCAAAAAAAAAAAATTCGCTAAAAAAAAAAGCAGCTAATTTCCAAAAATGAAGGTCATATTCGGTCTTACCACACACAAATACACTAGAAAAATGGGTCCGACTAATTACCTAAATTAACCCAAATGTAGCCGCAATGAAGTCAAATAATGGTTCTGCTGATGAAATATTGACTGCTAATTACTGATTAGTATTTAGAAACACAGTCAATAAACTTAATTTAATCTGAGTTATTAGATCGAGTGCATGTACCTAACCTAACTACCTGATTAAATTAAGTTTACCATTTTTTGTGACTTTATGACACCAAATACCAATCGAGAAGTAATTGGCAGTCGATTTAAGCTTTATGACCATTATTTGACTTCATTGTACTTGGGTACATTAGGTAATTAGTGGACCGAAAAAAAATTTATTACTTGCTAAAAGTGAACGGTGTGACAATGCAAATTTACCAAAACTTCTTCCTTGTCTAAAGAACATCCCCAAGCACTGGCGGAGTAGCCAATATCTTTTACCAAATCTAACCAAATAAGAAAAAATAAAAGAACCCCAGGAACCGGCCCTAATGACTCATCAGGATAAAACACTTTTTTACAGGCACACTATTATTCACGTAACAAACGCTCTATAATCGAAATCATTGCACCTCTGTTCTAACACGTAGTACAATTTGTTAATAATAATCGTGGAATTTAATTAACGAGGTCGCTCTCAGCTGTGTACCAGACCCTCATCACCGACTGCTACACCACCGGCCATTTCATAACCTATTTCCTCAGTTTAACCTCATCCATACTGCTCTCATCTCCTTCCAAGGACCCGACTCTTTCACTTACCACTACACTCTTCAATAGAGAAGGTTTTGCAGCTTTCGATGCCATTTTCGTACAATTTCTTCCTCCACTTCCACTTCACCAAGACAGAGAACAGCTGAGCCACTCGAGACGACCAGCAGTGTTACCAGATGTGGTTGGTGAGAATCCGCTAGATTGACCTATAGAATCCGCTAGAAATCCGCTAAACACAATATTACGCACGTATACTAAACAATATGCAAATGTTAAGTAAATATACAAATGTTAAATACTCACCACTTTGTTCAGCGAAAAAATTATGCCTTCCTCTTCTTCCTTTCAGTCTCTATAGAGGAAGAGATTGAACCAGCTTCTGGTGCCTTTGATATCAATGAACTGTATGCCACCATTGTACCTATTTCCTTCACTTTTTTGGGCAGTTCATATGAATGGGCAACATTTTGCAGCTCTTCTGAGTCCACTTTTTATTGCAATAATCGCAGACTGAACTTGTATTCAACCGATTTCTGAGCTTTGATTTAATACTATTTAGCTGGCTAAATAGTCTCTCAACTTCAGCATTAGAGTGGCGGAAGTACACTGATAGTTAATTCACAGAGGTCACGTAAAGGATACTCTGATAATCTTTTACCTCAATCCAAAATTTTACTGTTGACGTGGTCTCGTTACCATTTAACAATTAAGTTGCGCCACTGATTGTCAATTCGGTCTTTTTGGGGGATGGTACCAAAAAGTTCAACTATCTCTTCTGTTGGTCCTTCACAAGTCTGAGACATTCCACTACTGTAAACTGAGACATTTTCTTCGAGATTTTGAAGTTAGCAGAAGTCTTTTCTCATTACAGAGACTGGTAACACAAGATAAACAGCGATTACGAAGATCACACTCTGCTTTTCTGATAGCTTTGAGTTGGTGCAAGTCTTTTCAAATTCTATCCTAAATATTCCCTCGGGTCAATGTGAGAGAGATGGGTTGCTCATTACTCATTCTATTTACTTTAAATTTCCGGTTTTTTTAATATCAGAAGTGGACTGATGAGGTTTTAATTACTCATATCATCATGTATACGAAATCGCCAGAACTTCCGCCAAATCCAGTGAAAATGCACCAGAAAATCCGCTATCCGCAAAAGATCTAAGCCATATGCGTTTTGAAAGTTCAATCCTCTAGACTTAGCGAATTTTCCCCCAAAATGCCAACACTGACGACTACCCACAATTGCTTGAGTCTGTTGTGAGAGTACAATAACAGTAAGAGAATCTTGGGAACAACAAGCGTTTATATAGTTGAAACGATCCTAGATGGCAGTAAATATCCTTTCCATCTCCATCTATAGCTCTGGGTGGATTCAAACTTCAGCTGTACTGTAAATCTCTATCACTTAATGTATTTACTACTGACTTAAAAATATCTTCTTATAACAAGTGCGCATGCTTTAAATGGCCCCAAGCTGCCCTTGATATTGGTCAGATTTCAAAAACATTCTGGGGGTGGGGGGCGTAACAATGCACCCCCAAATCCCCAGTTGGGTGCTCGCTGCGCTCAAAGACAGGAATGAGTGTAAAATAGTCGGTAATAATACTAGCTGGGTTTTTCTAGGAGTGGGACCTCAAGTCACAGTGACATCATTTTATTTGGTTCAAAGACTATTTTAAGAAAGATGGGAAAGAAAGGCGGCACGTAAGCCCTTTGATTGGCCAGGATCAACGGATGGGGATAGTGTGCAGGCGCGGGCGTCACCATCACCTGTGTGCTGTAGGCACCTGCACAAAAAACAGATCACCCTGAGCTTGTTTCACGTTGCTATACATCAGTGATCATAGAGAATTTTCTGTGTGATATTGCATGTGTGTGTGTCAGTATGTATATGTGTATGTGTGCTACACATTAAGAAGGTCAGAACAGGAACGTCAAGGTAATGAATAACACGGTCAGACATATAATATAATCAACGACCTTACCAGCCAGGATTCGAACCCTTGACCTACTAGGTGGGACTAGGGAACTACCGACCAACCCACAAGGACACTGTAGTGGACATCTCCCCACAACTGCCTACAACTGCGTAGCGGCGTCACCAAGCTGCTACCATCCTCCCTAGCAACCAACCAGATGTTACCGTATCTTAGCAACGGAACTAGTCACCGGCGACTTTCGGTTTTCCCAACATGACTCATAGCGGCTGCTGGTATATAAGCTCTGTCTCTCCATTGAGATTCATTCTGACCATTCTTCTACAACAAGCAACACCTCTTCTCCGCCGCTGCCTGGCAGCCCTCGCTTCTCCTCGCCTGCCTGGCGGTCCTCGCCCCGCCAGCGAGCATGGCGACCCACCAGCTGTCCTTCTGAGCTTCCTCACCAACCAACTCTCATTCTGCCCATCTTCCTGAACAAGCAACACCTCCTCCAGCAAGCTCCACGCTGTTAACATTTATTTCAACCAGGAGGCCAGCAACAGGCAACACCTTCTAACGAAGCTCCTGCACATCTACCTCCTTCAACACGCTACTCACCGAACGTCTTCTACTGAGCAGCTCCCCACCACACGGCATCTCCAGCACCAGACTGTCTATCATATAACTTATATATTATACAAGAAAACCACATTAGAGTTTCCTTCCATCCTGAGTGCTAGACAACATTAATATCTCGATACCCCTACAACACTAAACGCAGTCCTAGGCTCTGTTATATTTCAGACAAAGTCTGATCATTGAGCTGATGGCGCCGTGAACCTCATTGGGAACTGCCCGTGCCCTCAGTGTGGTGTGTCAGTAGCATTTTACCGAATCTAGCTGGTATGAAACACGAGGTACCATATATATATATTCATTTTTAGTCCATATAACACGCGGACTTTGAACATATAATCAACGACCTCACCAGCCAGGATTCGAACCCTCGACCTACTGGGAGGGACTAAGATTATATATATATATATATATATATATATATATATATATATATATATATATATATATATATATATATATATATATATATATTCATTAGCCAATAAACAGTTATTATATATATATATATATATATATATATATATATATTTCATTAGCCCAATAGCACGCAGACTTCTACATACAATCAACACCTCAACCCGCCAGGATCCGAACCCACGGCCCACGAGCCCATAACTGTGAACTGAGAACGCTACCTCTGGACCCCAGGATACTAAAACCAATCCTAGACTCTGTTATATTTCACACAAAGCCTGTTCAACGAGCTTATGGCGCTGTGAACCTCTAACGGGACTACCCGTATCACGGTGGGTCAGGAGTAACGTTTACCAAATATATATATATATATATATATATATATATATATATATATATATATATATATATATATATATATATATATATATATATATATATATTATATATATATATATATATATATATATATATATATATATATATATATATATATATATATATATATATATATATATATATACAGACACACACAATAATATCACACAGTAAATTCTATATGATCGATGTAACGTTGTTTTGGCTTGGAGATTACTGGCCACTTTGTCTTTCGGTTATTTCGAGCTGTTTTACCTAAGTCGTTTAATTTGGAGCTCTTCCTTGTTCTTTTTGCTTTTCAATTTCCATTTTCTTCTTGCTCTTGCTCTGGTATATACTCGTAAAGGTCTTAAAACGCTGATAATTTTAATGTTACTGTATCTGTCTTTGGCTTGTTTGTCTTTTCTTCTTTTATCCTCTTCACCACTGATCGGCTCGTTAGCCGCTTCGGCGATCGGTCACGTCTCTGTTACACACTGTTGGCAAGTACTAGGCATGCACCGGCTCCTGAATGTACCTGAACCCGCTCCAGTGTTGGTCAAGTCTTGTCTTGAAAGAGGTCACACTTGGTGCCGTCACAACACTTCTGGTAGATTGTTCACAACTCTCACTCCGAAAAAGTTTGCCCTCAGTTTTCTGGACTTGCGGTTCTTCAATCTTGAGCTGTGACCCTTGTGGGGCGAGCGTTCGCCAGCCCAAGTAAGGACACTCGACTGGTGTAGTGCCCCTTGAGATGCTTATTCACCTCATTGTAGGTCACCCTTGCCCGTCTGTAGTATAAGCTAGGCAAGTTCAGGCGCTACAATCTCAGGGTAGCTGAGGTACCGAAAGGCAGGCAACAGTCTGGTGGCCCTCCTTTGAACATTTTCAACCAACTGACAGTCCCTAGGCATATCTCGAGGACCAGATGGGGTGACAGTACTCCAGATGGGGAAGCACTTTACTCTTGAAGATCGTTACGAGGGACGGACTGTCTAGATATCTGAACGACCTTCTTATAAGACCCAATAATTTATTTGCCTGATTTACCTTCTTCTCGCAATGGCCCGAGAACTTCAGCTCATTGTCAACATACACACCTAGGTCCTTCTCACATTCAGTCTCAACTAGTGCAGTTTCTTCATCCCGTTGGGACATATTGATACGCCTCCTAACCGTTGGTACGCCCCAGGTGCATCCTCTTACACTTCGTGACATTAAATCTCAGCAGCCATTTCTTCGACCATTCTTGGAGCCCACAGAGGTCCTTCTGCCACTCTTCACAGTCCGCTTGGTTCTTGCTTTCCCGAAATAACTTGGCGTCATTGGCAAACATTTGAATGGAGGAGGTACAACGAGGCATGTCATTTATGAAACAAACAAAATAACTGCCTGTGGTACCTTCTGCTTGTGACAGGTGCGATGATGATTGTGCCATCACACACACTGTTTGTGGTCATGTAGAAAGTCTTCTTGTGAGGTGGCGGTTCCCCATTTCACATCACCTCATCTTACTTAATTCTCTTAGTCTTACTCTTACTCAGTTCCGTCACCTGTTCTTTTGGTAGCATGGACATTCTTTTGGTAGCATGGACATTCTTTTGGTAGTATGGACATTCTTTTGGTAGCATGGTCATTCTTTTGTAGCATGGTCGAGGGTCTAGGCGCGTGGGTATGGTAATTCTGGCATCAAGTCACTTGGATGGAAATAAAGGTAAAATACTGTGGAGAAAGGAATACACCTAAAGTACTTAAGAACAAATTTATTAATGTGCAATCAATGGGGAAAGATATTGTATTAATCATATAACTACCAGGCTCAACTCCTGGGCTTATTGCAGACTCAGTACCT